AATCTGTTATTGTAAATAATAAATACAAATTTTAATTAATAAATATAATATATTGTTAATAATTAAATATCATTATATATTATATTACAAATAAGTGAATGGAAATAACTTATACTCAAAAATAAATTAGGATAAATAAATAAGTCCATTTATCTATTGGATATCCATAACGATAATGAGGGCAACACTTTTATTTGGCAAGGAAAAAGAAACGACAGATCTGAAATTATTCGGATATTTGTTTTACTATTGATATTCGGATAATTATCTGAATATTTGTCAGATTATCCAGATATCAATAGTAAATGGATATCAGGATAAATTCAGATATGGATAAATGGATGACTGATTTATCTGGATTGGATTCTATTTAAATGAATAAAAAGTTTAATGAAATGAATAACTCTCAAATATTTTGATAGATATTATTATATGTATTTTAGAAACTATAACCGACGGTGATCATCACCGAGGTGCTTATATCTCAAAAACGTACTAAGTAAACTGGATCGAGTACTCTAAGTAAAAATGTTCAGGACCCCTGAAAACCTCTTGAGAACTGAAATTGGGACCTTATATTAGCTCTATATTATATTATATAAAAAAATAATAATTCTCTAATTTCTAACCCTAACCCTAACAAATCTTAGGACCGGTGATGATCACCGACGGTGATTAGAACTAAATCTCTTATTATATTATAATAACATAAACTAATTTAATATATTATCATAACAATGAATTCACTTGAGTCACTTGAGTGGCTAAACTATTTTTTACTAATTAAAAATCAGCTCCTGATCTATTAATTTAGATATTTGAAGGAATTCTAAATCAAGAAATTCGTAAATAAAAATAAATAAATTTATGCTTAATTGATAATTAATAGTTATTTTATTAGATAGTATTACAGTAATTATAAAAAAAATAATTTAGTTTGATTAATAAATAATTGTTAGATATAGACTAAATAAATATTAAATTAAAGATAAATAGCTTATTTAAATACTACAATTACTAAATTTGCCAATTAAATAAAATATAACCAAAAAAATCATTAAATAAAACATAAATAATTTATAATAAATCTTTTATCAGATATGGGCTGTGAAAGTTAATATATTAATTTTTTTAAAAATGTTAAATTTCCTTATTTTTATTGACTACAGCCCATTTTATCTTTTGTTTTATTTTTTTAGTTTAGTAATTATAATTGAGTTATTCTTAATTATCATATAAAAACTTTATATTTATATATTTTGAAAAGATTTATTCAGATTTTTTGTTTAAAAAATAAAGACTAATCTAATTATAAGTTTATTAATTTCTAATTAATATAAAAATTTATAAGTAATAAGCTTATATAAAATCTTATATATCAAGCTCTACTAAAGTAATTGCATTTAACTAATAAGTATTCAAAAATAGTGCTACAAATTGAAAATCAAAAATCGATACTAATTGAAAAGTTGACAACTAACAATTGAAAAATTTTTGGCAACTCATATTAAAATCAAATAAAAATGAATAATTGAAAAGTTGACAACTAATCAATTGCAAAATTTTTGGCAATTTATAGTACTATTTAAAAATAATAAAAGTTAAATTAGGTTAAAATATTAATAATTATAAACAAAGTATGTATTTATATATTTACTTGACTAATAGAATGTATTATATAGCCAAAAAGCTTTAATTCTATCAAGCAGCTTATTTTTTAAAATTATTCATATTTTTGCTTATTGTTAATAATTAAATAATTTGATTTTATTTAAAAAATAGATATTAAAAAGTGCTTAAAAGAAAGCTATTAATATAAAAACTATTATAAAAATAAAAATAATTGTCGCAGCTGATGCTGAAAATGGCTGATGCTGAAATTTGAGGTCTCTATTTAAATCTATAATGCCTACTAAAATCCACATATACTTTTTTATAAATAAAACTACCCTACTAACCCTAACCTAACTATGAAAAAAAAGTGTAAAAAAAGGCCCAAAAATTTTTTATAATTTTATAATAACATATGAAAAATTTTCAGCATCAGGTGCGACAATAATTATTACACGTAATAATAATTATTACTACGTATAGTAATTATTATTACTACGTATAGTAATTTTTATTACTACATATAGGGGATCGCTAAAGCCTTGTACCTACGTAATTTTTGAAGTTTTAATTGTAATTAGGGTTAGGGTTAGTTTAGCGTTAAGGTAAGAGTAGTTTTATAGGTAAAATTTCCTCCCCTACATTTTTTATTAATGCAACAAGACAGGTTTAGACCACCGTTTTTCATATTTTTGCATTTTTGACTTCTTTGGGCTGATCTGTGTAAACAAATTTCATGATTTTGATTGGTTGATCTACATATAAAAAGTCACGTGGGTACAAGGCTTTAACAGACCCTTTTTTTGTCTTAATTAATGCTAAACGAATTTTTTTTTCAAACATGGTTCTCATTCTAACACTGCGAAAAAAGTAATTGGAAGTCGCAGTAAAATTAGCTGGTGGGGCTATTCCTCGCCTACAAACTAGTTGTAAGTGAATAATGGTGGGTTGCAAGAATTTTTTGGGGGGCTCTGGCAAACTTGTATCTCATTTTAACAATTGATTCTATATGCCAGACATATGCTGTATACGTTATTTGACATTATCGTTCATATTTTTCTTTGATCTTTCCACACTGTACTCCTTTTGGTTAAACGTTTTGTTTACTGTTCTTGTGGTAAAGCTTACTATTATTAACTGTTTGCATCAATTTTGTAATTTTTATTTTAGTAGTCAAGTTTTACTATAGGTCAAGGTCTACTATAAGTTTACTGTGAGTCAAATTCTCCGTAAACCAAACTTTATCATAGTTCATTTTTTACTGTGAATAAAGCTTCATACATTCAAGATTTTACGACCAGGTTATACTGAGTTCAAATTTGGTTGTAAGCAAAGTTTGCGGTAGCGAGTAAGTTCTATAACAGAATTATTTACAATAGATATTGTAATAATTTCAACACAAACTAACTTGACTTTAATTATCAAAATAGAACTTATGATAAATTTAATACAATCTAAAATCTTTAAAAGAATCTAAGATTTTAAGTTTAAAATATCAAGTAAAAGAGCAAGGACAACTGTTAGTAGCAGCTTAAAACAAGAAATTTGTAAATATAATAATAAGTTTCCGAATGAAACACATTCAAATATTGCACAATACTTTAATCAAAAAGATCTAGCATTAAATCTTGAACATTTAACTATAATAAAAATTTTAAATGTGAAAGATAAATGGTTGGCAGTTGCTGATAATGAAGCTAATGCGGCTGTTTTTCGCCATAAGAAAGTTAAATTCCCTTTATTAGATAATGCTATGCAGTTGTGGGTTGAACAGATTATAAGCAGTAAAATCTTTCTAACCAAAGCAATTATTAAGAAAAAGGCCAGTTTTTTTTCCTGGGCATTAGGTTTACCAGATAATTCATTAAAATTTTCTAACAGTTGGATTCATAAATTCAAGAAAAGAAATAATTTGCAGAACTATCGGTTGCATGGAGAATCCAATAGCATGCCATTAGAATTACTTCCTGAACAAAGGGCAAAGTTACACAAAATAATCAGAAGATATTCTTTAAATAATGTTCTTAATACTGACGAAACGGGCTTGTTTTTTTGTATAGCACTACATCAAATACTTGCATTGCAACCACAATCCGGATGGAAAAAGGTTTTTTTTACCTTGTTCTAATACTATGCATACTGAAAATACTGTTAAGTGATGTGTAAAATTCAAGTTTGATTTTATGTTCTTATTAAATTTGTACTGTATAGCATTAAAGTTTTATTTAATATTTTTAAAAACATTTTTTAATAAATTAAAATTTGATTAAGGTTCTAAAAAAAATAGAGAACATTGAATTTCGCACACTGCTATATATTGAACTTTTTAAAACTAATCTTATCAAACTCGATAGCCGTCAAATATAATAAACATTAATCTACCAAGCTCATTTCTGCTTTATAACTAACAAACAATTTATAAACTCTCAATACTGATTCAAGATTTATTCACCATGCATATGTATCAGTTTTGAGAAGTTAACAGTAATGGATTAATTCAGTTTATTAATTTTTATTGCTTTAGGATCGTGCATATATTACAGTCATGCTGACCACGAATGTGACTGGAACTAAAAAGCTAAAGCCAATAGTAATTGGATCATTTATTGAACTCAATGCTTTGGTTCGTTTAAATTATGATACTTTACCTGTAACATATCATATAAATTTAAAAGCTTGGATGCGGACCAATATATTCTGTAAATAGCTCTTAAAACTTGATGAAAAGTTTCGTCTAGAAAACTGGCAAATTTTATTGTTAGTTGATGGTGCAACAAGTCATTATAACCCTAATGATGATAGTAATCAAGAACTAGATAAAGAATTGAATGATGAAGAAAGTTCAAGCAATAAAGAATCAGAATCGGAAAATGAAGCATCAGAAAATGAAGAATTAGAGGAAGAAACCCAAGCAAGCTCTTCTAATACCCCGTATGTTCGCTGTGGTCGACCAAGATTAAGTGCTAGCAGCATTAATAAACAAAAAGAGCGAGATTCTCTTCGTAGTCGTAGTTGTGGGCGTAGTTGTGGGCATGGGTGTGGTTGTGGGCATGGTCGTAGTTATGGGTGTGGTCATGGTCATGGTCGTAGTCGTGGTCATGAACAAGTTTCTCAAAATAGCAAAGGCTGTTATAGAACTGGTTGTCCTTATAGAATTCCAGATCTTTCTGATATTCGTTTAACAAATATCAGAATTGAGGTTTTACTACCCAAAACTACTGCCCATCTTTAGCCGATGGATGCTGGAATTATATATTCCTTCAAAGCTAAATACAAAAGAAAATATATTCAGCATGTAATAAGTCAGTTCAAAAGGGAAGAAGATTTAAAAATGTAAAAACATATTGCTTGTTACCACTTATTGGCATAAGCACAATATCGTAATTATAATGCACAACAAATTACAGCATTGTGCTCACACAATTATTGCCGCTGCAAATTGCACTCAATGTAATGCAGTTTTTTATACTGTATTAACAATCACATGATTATGTATTCGTATATACATATATATATAAATAGTGCTATAACAGGTATTGTGTGTAGTGGCAAATAATAATGAATATCTGTATAAAGTTCCATAATAGGTACTCAATCTGTATAAAATTGGCATATACTGGAACCAAATGTGTGAGAGTGAAAACCTGTAGCCAATCATGATCAATTAGTTTTACACTCTCACATACTCATTTATAATAGGCGCTCATTTATTTGAAAAAACTTAGTTCACAATTTATAACAGGTCTACTATCAAATAGATCTTTTTATACACCTATCTATATTAGTGTTGTGAATTAGCTCATGATACTTTAAATCCCATTAAATTAAAAAATTTTACTGACACTATTTATTTGTTCAGGAATAAATTAAACATAAGAGATGTGATATATTATGTTGCAGAATCATAGAATGAAGTTGAAGAATCAACCATAATAAATTGCTGGAGAAAAACAGGAATCCTTCCATTATTATTGGATACTGAGATTGAGGATGCTACTTTTGCTGTTCAAGATTTTACAGATATAGAAAAAGATAACGTAGATGAATTAATTATAGACCTAACTACAAATTTGTCAGATCCTACAATTGAACATCAGCTAAATGAATTTAACAATGTAAATAATTCTCAAATATTCACTAAAGATGTTCTAGATAAAGAGCAGATTGTTAACATTGTCTTGGATGAGCAATGGGAACTTGAAGAAGGTAATACAAGTGATAGTGATGAGGAACCACCTGAAATTCCTGTTACTGAAGGTTTAAATGGCCTAAAAAAAATCATTAGTTTTGTTGAGCAACAAAAAAGTTGCGATTTTAATGCAGAGGACCTGAAAGTTTTTCGAAAATACTTAACACTAATAAAAAAAATATGTTGAATCACTGAAGCAGAAATCTATTACTGATTTTTTTTTATCTGCTTATGGTCAATATGATCAATATGATCAACATAATCAACATAATCAATATGATCAATATGATCAATAACAGGTTCTTTTTTTTTTTACCCGTAGTAGCTTTTTTTTTTTTTTTTTTTTTTTTACCTGTAGTAGTTTTTTTTTTTTTTTACCCATAGTGGTTTTTTTTTTCCCCAAAAAATTAGCTAATTGTTTAGTGGCAAATTATTTAGTACCAGATAATCAGGATTTTGGACAATTCAGCTTAATCATTGATGAAATTTTATGTTGAATTTTACTGAACTTAGACTTGAACGTATATAATCTATATAAAAGTAAGATTCTGACTATTAAGTTTTTCGAACTTTATTAGTTATCAGAATTGTTTAATAACACATTATATTTAAACTTTTCTGAAAGCTTATTTAGCGCATCGTAAATTGACACTGGGTAAATTTCATGCCTTCTTATAAATCATCAATGGCATAAATCTAATTTGCCGGTATAAAATTATTTTGCCGTTATAACCATCACCAGTGTAAAATTATTATATCAATGTTGCAAAGTGAATTAGCACTAGTTCAACAGGTTAATAGTCAAAGATGTAATTTGATAAAATGTAGAGTTTTATATTTTTTTCAATATGCAGTTAACATAATTTTTTCTTATCACTTTTAGCGAAAATTTTATTATTTTGTATAGTTTACATTATCTCAAATAAATATGCAAAATATATCATAAATTTATAATTTTTGATCTGAAATTTGTGTTAGACATGCGCTGCTATTATTATTATTATTTAATAATCAAACTTTTTTTACTAAACCTTTTCTTGAGTATTTAATAAAAGCTGTGATAACTTTGCGGTTCTGTAGTAAAAACTACTTTTTTAATTTTTGTTAAAAGTTTAAACAATACTTTACTGTTGAACCTCTTAGAAATGATTGAATAGTGACAGATTTTGTATCATTATTGAGGGTTTATTGGATTTAAATATTGTAGACTATTAGATTTATAAAGCAAAAACGAACTTTGCAGATTAATTTTTTATCAGACTTAATAGGCAGGATCGGTTTGAGAGATTCAACATTATTTAGTATATAATAATTATTTAATAATAAAGGTTTTATACAGTACTTGTAAAAATAAATTATATTATATAAATTTATTCTATAGGCGGATTATTAATTTAATTGTTAAATAAATAAATTTAATAACACTACAATTTATTTTGTTATAGCAATTGGTTTTATTAAATACAGTCGACCCTCCAATAACCTGATAAAAAATTAATCTACGTACCAAGTCCATTTCCGTTATATAAATCTAACAGTATTTGATTTACCTTTTTAAAATCACATTATATATCATATTATATATTATGTGATTATATAGAAGTAATTCTATTTAGTCACCCCTTTATACAATCACCAAAAAGTGCTAGGTAAATTGGGTGATTGTATGGAGGTACGACTGTATATTAAACATTATATTTGTAAATAGAAATTTTATTATTAATTCTAACCCTATATTTATATAAATAAATATTAAACTTTATAAAAATTAAAAATCACCAATAAAATTACTTGCTTATAATGTAGTTTAAAAACATGCTTAGAGTAATCTAACCAAAAATATTAACTTAGTAAATGCAATTGTAACATTTGTAAATATTTTAAAATAAAGATTTAAATTAACCAACAAGACTAGAGAATATATGAATAAAAATAATACTAATCCCCAAATTATTGTAAGAATAATGTTATTAGTGAACATATAAATCAAAATAATTTAGGTAAATATTTCATTAGGTGTGAAACCGCCTAACATTACACTTTTCATTAAGTTTTCTGACTCTAAGAAATGGAGAGGAAATGTAACTAATTGTCCTCGGATATTTTCCAACTTTGTTTTTACATTGTAATTAATTGCTACATGTCCTTTATCAACAACTGTTGGATTTGGTACAAATTCTTCGTATTGCCTCCAATTAGTGACTTCAAAAGTTATTAATGATATATTATTAATGATATATTATTACAATATAATAATAAAATAAATATAAAAGTAAAACATACCATTATCATCAGGGATGCATTTAAAAATTGATCTATAGATATCGGTATTATTTTGTGCAGTTTTTTGCCAATAATTATAAAATTCATCAGACAACGGATCCATAACGACCAAATCTTCTTTCGTAGGATGATTATGCTCCGAATTGGTCGTTATTTCATCCAATATTGAAGTGGATGAACTATCCCTATCATGCAATAATTCCTTTAATACATCAGGTTGAATAGGCGGTAAACTACTTTTGGTAATTGTTGCATGAGCTTGTGGTTCAATAAGTCCCAAAAATTCTTTGAATAAATTGCTGCGTAGTGTATAGGCAAACTTGGATGCTTCATACTAATAAAAATCAATGATAATAATGTTTACTGATCTGATATACATAGGTATGAAAAAGAAAATTTCTCATAATAAATAAAAACCTTTTGTCCATTCATACGTGATGGAACAGTCTGTTTATCCTCAACAAGAATCGCTATTTCAGAATCGCGATCACCTAGTTGTGATCTGTCATTTATATTTGCTATTTAAAAACAAACAATTATCAATAGCATATTTTTTTGTATCAATACTAGCTTTGTAACTTGGAAATAATTTGATTTTCTGCCAAACCTGAACCAATAATAACATATTTGTCGTCAACAATCATTAATTTGCTATGAATATATATCTCTTCTGTAACATAAGTATGTTTTGGATCTGAGTCTACCATGCTTGCAGGCATACCCGGCTCGCCTCTGATTCCTCTTAAAGAAGTTTTAGTTTGTTCATCAGAGTATGAATCTGTACTAATATCATCGTTATGTGATGGCCGAGATTCATCTGAAGTTTCATTCTGCTTGTTCTTAATAGAACCATTAGGTACACTACGATTGTGTTCTTTATTTTTAATTTTGTCATAGCCACGCAACGCGAAAAATGATATATAGTTTTCCGGATCTATATCAGCTTGTCTTATTTTATCTAATATAGATTTACCACCTCGACAAATTGAGACATATTGCCAATGCATCACCATGCTATAATCAATATTTAAGCGAGAGTAAAAATAGATATTATAATAGTTCAGTTTATAAATATCAAATAAATAAATAGATAAATAAATAAATATGAATAAATATATATTACCGAATCGTTCCTGCATCACCGGAATTTAAATCCGCCTCAAAACCGGGTAATAAAGGCATGATAACAATAACACGGAATTTTTCACCGTCTTGATGCGCTTTTATTATACGTTCAACAATAGACTATTTAAAAGATTATATGGGTTACGAATCGCAAATTATGCTAGTTAACCACGTAAGAAAAAATCAACCTTGCCGATCCGGTTTTTAACAATATAATTTGGATCATCTTCTGTTGACGTAACTGATAGAAAGAACATTAATTAATATTGCATACATAAAAAACATTTTTTAAATGGCTTACCAAAGAATTGATTTTCGATATAAATAAAATGTTTGGCATTTCGGATTAAATGCTGATAAGCGCTATAGATAGAACTCTATATGAAATAGCATCTCGTTAAAAATTAAGCTTGATCTCACAAGCATATAAATATGCAATATATAAAACATATTCCTCACTTCAACTTTAATTCCGCTACTCCATATTGCACTACTACGTAAAAGTT